CCATTCGCATTGCGAAATCCCGCGCTCGCCGAGTGATGTCATCGGAGAGGTTGTTCCGACAATGACGACAGTGGCAGCCCTCACAAGCCCGACCTGCAGCGAAGCAATCACAGTAGAGTTTAAGGCAGTTGGAACGGAGGCAGGAGCATATGCGTGATCGATTAGCGCCAGCGGCAGCAGCTTCCAAATCGGCTTTAGTGTCCGCCGATACCGAGAGGTCAGCGTCGTCAGATAATTCCTCATCTTCATCCTCGTCGTCCTCGACTTCTCCGCCTTCTGTACTATAGTATGCTCTAACTGCATTCGGTAAAGATTTTGGGGGGATGGTTTCAGTAGAAGAAGCCAGGGGTTTTTTATTATGGCTTGCCGCTGGAGAAACTGAATTGGCTGATTTGGGTGGGCTTGATGCACTTGGCAGCACTGTTGACTCTACAGGGATTGTCACTGTTTTAGCGGCGACCGTGACCTTCTCAGAGGTCTGCGTAGGTAAAACAAGACCGGTAGCTCCTGCAACCGGCCTTTGAGTATCATGTTCAGGTTTTAGACCCGCTGCAAAAACAGAGGTATGGAGAAGGGTGCATAATTGGTTAAAGGAGACAAAAAGATAAATTGGACAGAAAAAAAGCATTACAATGGCCGAGTGGTAGAAGCAAAAACCGGAGAATAAGTAGTTATTGAGGGACACTAGTGATGGCTACAAAACTGTATACGCACCAAAATCCACCACTGAACCGCGCGATAAGGACATGCTTACTCATAGATGCAAACAGTAGTTGAAATGCTCCATAGGCACGCTCTGCTGATTGCTATTGGGGACTGGAATAACCGGACTGGACCTTGTGACTCAAACAGTCATCTTATTGGCCGCTTTGAGCCTGGTTCTTGATGTGAGAATGGTGAAAGACTTCTGAACTTTGCTGATCAGAAAACGTTACGAAAACGTGCTTTCAGCACCGCAACAAACATCTTCTAACCCTGTAAGCAAACGACGGTCATATGGCCAGTCAAATAAACTAAATTCTAGTTAGTTGAACCTTTTGCAGCTGGGTTCATAATAACAGATCGTCGAGACTGGTAATACCCATGGGTCTGACGGCGTTCTCGACCGTACACGCTTTAAAGTTCACCTCTCATTCACGCCCAAAAACACGCGCTAGGCGCCTCGATATGGCCAAAATTCGGCAACCCAGAACTGCCGAGGTCCTGAACGAATAAATTCAGTTATGTTTTACGGCCCGAGCCGGTGGAGAAGACAGTAGCCAATGCTTATTACTGAAAACATGGGGCAGCTGATAAAATTCTTGAATACATCCAGCGATGTAGCAGTGATTGGATCAGGGGAAGAACCTTGCAGTCGTCTGCTCAGACAGTCCGATCCAGGTACTGTAGTAATGACTCCGTCAACTCAGAAAGATGGCGGCAAAACCGGCTGGAGAGGACCGCAAGAAATACTGCGCTGAAAAAGCAAACTCCCATGGGACAGGCCTTGAACGCTAGTGATACTCGAAAATACCACCAACTTGTGTGCAAAGTTAGTGGTAAGTTCTCTTCACCGAGTCACTAAGTTCGTGATTTGAATGGCGGCTTTATTGCTGACAACTCTGCAAAAGTCGAAAGCTGATGTAATCACGCCGAGCACCTTCTCACCTTCGACATCGAACCCAGCACCCCTTGCTCCCATCTACAGCCGAATCTCCTTCCACTCAAATTTACCCATTGTCATGCAACCCGCCTTTTAAACGAGAAGTTGCCGAAGTCATACAAAGGTTGCGCAACAACAAGGCACGCAGAGAGGAGAGTATACCCGCTGAAATCTACAAGTCTTGTGCTGCAACTGTGGAGCCTTGGCTTTATGAAGTGACTGGAAAAGTGTGGGGAGACGAGGCCAGTCCTGATGACTGGGACTCATACATCCTTGTACCTGTCTACAAGAAGGGAGATAAAACACGATTCGAGGACGACCGCAGCATAAGCCTTATCGACATCGCAGGCAATTCCAGTCTGTGCGTGACTCTAGGACGCGGTCCAACCAAGCCGGATTCCGCACTCGGCGCGGATGTGCGGACCAGATATTCACACTGAGATGCATCCTTGAATTCCGACATAGCTACCAACAATAAACGGCCGTCTGCTTGGTTGACTTTGCCGCTACGTTCGATTCCGTCCACCGTGAATCCGTATGGTGTATAATGGCACTAGATGATTTACCACCAAAAAACATCGCCATGATCAAGGCATATTATCGCTCCACAACTGCACGGGTTCTAGTTTATAACAACCCTTGAGAACCGTTCGCTATTCGGTCTGGCGTTCGACAAGGCTGTATCCTGTCGCCCAGTATATTCAACTACTGGTTTCCCGGGAAGACTCTACATGAAGAGGAGGGTACTGAGCTTGTACCCAGACGCCAGTTGACTAATTTCCACTAGGCCGATTATGTCGCTTTACTAGCATCAAGCTTTGATGATCTACAGTTTACG